ATAAATTGAGTAGCATGTTACTTGAATTGATCTTGGAGAAACAATCTTCTCCATCGATTACTAGGCCACAGATCCTTTCTTGCGCTATAAAGGAGTTTATGTTAAATATGGTGTGAATTAGGCTGCAAACGAACCAAGACGAGTCGAGCAGGCTATTTTCAAGCTTGAGCTTCTTTATAAAGTTTGAGCTCGATCTCAAATGAAGTTGTTGGGATTGTTTTCAACCTTGATATTGTTTATAAAATTCAAGGCTTAACTCATTTTGAGCTTTTGTGTTTATGTTCAAGCTTATCTCATTTGTCATTTTAATATTTTTGAGTTCGTTTTATGTTCATTTCATATGATGATAATTGAGTTAATATTTTTGAGTTATTGTCAAATTAAGTAGTGTTATCGAGATACTTAATTTGTATTCAAATATCTAATAAGCAAATTAAAATTAGTGCTATATTTTTTAAAATATAATGTTATCAAACAAACTAATGAGTAGTTGAATGGAGCTATTTATTTCTTAATAAAATGATTTTTATCGAGTTTATAATCGAGTTATTTTCAAACTTTAAAAAGTAAATAAACTTTTAAATGAATAAGCTTCTAAACGAATAACTAAAATCAACATATACAACAACAATAACAAGTCTTTATCCCATTAAGTGAGGTCAGCTACATGAATCTTTTTTCTCCATTGCGTCATAATGAGTGTCATATTTTCATTTAATTCTATTAGGTTAAGATTACTTTTTATACAATTTGCCCAAGTTTTTGTAGGTTACCTTTGCTTTTCTTAATGTATGTCGAATCTAAAACATCTACCTCCTAACAGGATCATCAGATGGTTAGCATTTAATGTGACTAAATCATCTAAGACGACTGTCTCTAATCTTATCCGCCACTGCTACACCAATCCTATCATGGATTTATTCATTTTAGCATTGTCTCCATGTGTCGCAATGGAGAAAAAGGATTCATGTAGCCGACCCCACGTAGTGGGATTAAGGCTTTGTTGTTGTTGTTGTTGTGTTGTAGCATTGTCTCCATGTGCCAAGCCACTCATCCACCTAAGCATTCTCATCTCAACAACATTTAACTTTGTTTTATGCTTCTTTTAAATTCCAACATTCTGCACCATATAACATTGTAAGTCTCACCACCATCTTATAAAATTTTCCTTTCACTCTAAGCGTAGGTCGGATGCATTACTTCACTTCAACCAACCAACTTGAATTCTACTAATAACATCTCCATCTATATCACCATCACTTTGAACTATTGACCCGAGATCTAAAATATTCACACCTTTTAATGATTTGATCGCCCATAGTTACAACTCTGCACTAGAGCTATTAGTGCTAAAAATACATTCCATGTATTCAATTTTAAATCTACTAAAGTGAAGGCATTTACACTCCAATGTAGACCTCCCTTATTCAAGTTTTTCCTGAACTCTTTCTCTAAACTCTTTCTCTAGTATATCCACAAGAAGGATATTATCAGCGAAAAGCATACACCAAGATACATCCTCTTGTAAATGTCCAGTAAGAGCATCCATAACTAAAGCAAAAATATATGGGCTTAAAGCCGATTAGTCAATCCTCCTCCTATTCGAACACAAGTAGCAGCTATACTATACGTATAAATGCTTAAAATAACAATTAAGCAATAAGTCTATATCTTTTTTTATTTACTATGATTTAAAAATTTAATTTAATATAATTTAATATAAATGAGTTTTAAAAAATAATTTAATTGTGTTTATTCGAATCCTTTAAATTAAGCTTTAATAGATCTTTTTCATAGGCATAAATCAAACTTTATACGAGCTTATTCACAAGCTTACTCGTGAACTTTGAAGCAGTCCATCGAGTTTCATGATGAGCTTGTTCGAGAGCTTTAAAATGATATTGTTGGCTAACATTTCTAGCGTGTTCATTTAAAAATTGAGTTTTTATTGAAGTGTCCAAATTTGTTTAATTCGTTAATCAATCGAATGTGAACAAGCTCTTATCGAATCCAACAATGAGTAACTCATCAAACGTTAGGTTCGTTTGCAACCATAGTGTGAATGGCTGCCAAACAGATAAGGTATATGCACTTGCTAGCAGCACAAAATTTTTCTGTGCAATTGGTTTCTTTAGTTCCTCATGGTTGGACAAACTCACAAACACATTGATTTGACAATTCTCCAATGAAACTAAACAACAAATATATTCTAAAACTAATCCAATCAAAATTATCGCAATCAGTTCAACAGGATTTAGTTCATACTAAACGTTGAAAGCTAAATGATTTCATTCAATTTCTGACCTGTTTTATTCAGCTCCATTTAAAATAATAATAGTAATAATAAATAAAAATAATAAAAAAAAAACTATGTAATTTTTATGGATTATGCACATCAGCTGCTGATATTTATTTTGTGCTTATTGTGTGATGGTGGTATATACTCTATTTTTTTTTGTATTAATTCTTTCAATGATCCTCCAAATCCTTATACATGGGCTTGCAAACTAATATATATATTTTGTAATTGAATTAGTTGGGTTTCTCTTTATTTTGGATTGATTGAATTGCATGCATATCATAATGGTTCATTTTGACATGTTGTCCATTGTTCTAAGAGAAAGCTTCTTGATTAATACAGTGAGAGTTCATTTAATTAGAGTTTGTGAAACGTTATATAATACTTTCATTGTATTCTGTCATAAAAGATCTAAATATTGTTCTTTCTACCACACTATTTCAGATTGAACTACTTCTGCTTCTACATTTCATTTAAGATTGAGTTAGAGTTTATAAATTAACAATTCATTTGTCATTCAATTTAAATGTTTTGATTGATTGTTGTAAAATTAATGGCATTTAAGTAACAACATGAATTTAATTAAGAACACATTGGTATTAAGGGCAAAAATATGGGTCACAATATTTTCTTTAGTTATTTTTCTCTTACCAACCATATAAGGTCTAATAATATAAAGATGGCAAAGTTGACTTTTATCAGTTTAAAGATTAAAATTGTATTTTGAGGATATCAATTCAAATCAATTAAACTAGTTTGCTTTTGAGATGGGAATTTTATTTGAGATCAACTTGATTTATCATTTTTAAATTATTAATACAAACCTTGGAAAATATCTTATTTCCTTAGGGTGCAGCCTTTGTGGCATTAGTGATGTAATGTACAGCGCTGACTTTTCTTTTTTTTTTATTTTGTGCTTCTGTCAGATACTTGTTAGACATGAGCATGTCTGTGATATGCCTTTTGTCCAATGTACATGAAATTATTTTGAAGTTGTTTAAAGTCCAATTCATTGCCTAATATATGACTGCAACGACCTGACATAAAAGGGGCATATGCAAGGCATATGGGGGACATGTTCCAAGTTTTTTTTTTTTTATTTACGATTTGCTTCTCATGTTGAAGCACTCTTGTGCTCCACTTGCTCTCATATTGTGCAATAGATGTTTTGTTTTTTCATATATTTGATCCACGCTTGTTTTTAGTTGAGTTGCATTAGTGTGTTGACCAAGCATTTGTGCATTGATGCAAACTGAAGCATGATTGTCAAACGTTGCAGTTGGTGAGCTGTTGACACACGTGATTAGGAATGTAAATAAATTTAGGGGGGCAGCTTGGGATTTTGGGATTACTTTTGATGGATTACTTTTGATTTTGATTTTGAATTTTGATTTTTTGTTTTTATTTTGTTTTGTTTATGTTTTGATTTAAAACAAAACATGTTTAGTTGTTTTTAAAAACACTTGAATCAACTTTTAGATGGCTTGAGTGTTTTTAAAAGCAAGCTAATTTGTTTTTAAAGCAAAAATTAAAAAAAATGAAGTAAAGCTCAATGAGGCTTTTGAAGTTCAACTTTTGAGGTTGAGTGTGCTTTTGGCTCTGTGAGGCTTGTTTATCTTTCCAAATGTGCTCTTATTTAAAGCGATTTGATTTTAAAATGAATTAAACTTGAGTCAAAAGCTTAAATAAAAGCTCAAGTAAATTTGAATTTAGATGAATCGAACTTGAATATTATCACAAAAGTTTGAATTGAGCTCGCTCTAGGCTTAAACATGCGTTTGTTAAACGAGATCGTGCTTGAACAACCTAACTCAGCTTAGCCTGGATCTTTTGCAGCCCTAGTTTTTATATATAGTTCTAACCATAATTCTAGCACCCATTTTTTTTGACATTTACAACTTTTGATAGTTAGTTGGTTCCAACTTGCAGCCCTAATATTATGTTTTTCTTAATTCTTTCTTTCCGTAGACATTTTATCTATATTCTAATGGCTTTACGTCTTTAATTTTACGCTGCCAATCCTTATTAAAATTATTTATTTATTTGTATTTTTTTCTTGTTAAGCTAGGATTACTTCTTATTGACAGTATTATTATAATCCTTTTAAGGCTTTCTTAAAAAATAATACTGTTGGTTTTTAATATTAGTGATAAGTAAAGATTTTCACATTCCGTTGACAATATTTCTCTTTAAAAGTATGTAACATTGATTATTAAATTCTAATTATGTTATGTTATTGAAAACCTACAAAATTGATACACGTGATAAAATTGTGAAATTTAATTATAATTTACAACGTTTTAGTTGTTATTTTTAATTTATTTTCTTGGAGTGTATGATATCATACAAATGATGTTTTTTGATGGAAAATGAAAATGTTTAAATTCACCAAGGTGCGAATTTTAGAAATAGAAATGTTTAAAGTGCTATACATTTAACCTTCCCTCTTTTTTTTGTTCTAACAATGTATAATGAGCATTCGTGCTGGCAATTTGCTCATATTTAACGTTTGACAATTTTCTTTGAGATTTTTTTTTATTAATATTTTGTGTTGGATGGCTGCCTCGATTTTCTCATTTGCATTGGATGGTTGTTTACTTTTTATATAATCCATTTGGCATGGTATTTTTTCTTCTTTTCTAATTTCAATTTGATGAGATATGGTGAAAGAAGTTTTATTACTTTGATTCTGATTATGCAGAGAAGGCAGAGGTTCTTCAGGTGGTCAGGAATCTACAACTCCATTCTGGCACTGCTGCTGCCGACCGCCGTAAGAATTTAGTGTGAAACTTTTCAGTGGTGTTATTACGAATACAATGATGCCATCGTATAGTATTTTAAATATGTTTTATGTACTGTTATTTGATGAACCTTCTCAGCGTGCTCCTAAGTTTCTTGAATATTTCAGAACATATGGTCATTACCAAGTATGCATTAGTAATTCAAACTGTTTGAATCACAATCAGAGAATGTCCTCATGTATCTTAAAATTGTTCAATCGAGTTGCATGATTTTTCTTTAAACAATGTTAAATTGGCCTTCTCCATCTGCTTTCTACTGAAAATAAATACTGTTTTGTTACAATGGTTATTTTATCCAGGACTTTCAGGACTAGCTGTGAAGGGATACCGTTGGTCAGTTGACATCATGGGTAGTGGGGCATTTACATACATACCATCCAATTACTATGTATTTAAATATTTAACACCAAAATTTTATTTTTTTACATTTATATCACCCTAAATCTTTCACATCACCTTAAAAAATACCGCAATTTTTACTTCTAAATAATAAAATTTATTTTTTTTTCATGCTTCAATGGTTCTTTTTCATGACCTTAATTGCTTCTAAATTTTGATTTTTGTAGTTAGGAATCATTACCTCCTTTTATGAATTTAAAAGGATATTCATTATGTAATTTATTTCTGCTCAACTTCCTTGAAGAACCCTCATATTGTCCTAAAGATGGAGCAACGCACGGAATCCACACATACAAATTATAATACCACAACAATATCATCAAATCTTCATCTATGTTGTCTGCAAGCAATATTTTTTTTCTAAAGTTTAGAGAAGACATGGGTGAGTCCCATGAGAAACTTTATATTCAGATTCCTAACACAAATGGTGGAAGTTAACGACTTTGAACAAATTGTTTTCTAGTCCATCCTCACTCAAGGCTCATGAGAAGGACCATTTAGATATACATTAGGGTTTTGTAGTAGCTGGAACTTACTAGAAGTCATATTAATGTTGAAGAATATTAGTGCAATTGGCCTTTCACAACAGATTGCCAAAGAGATGAATTGACAAAAAGGATGTTCATATGCTCTTTAGTGATGACATGAGCCAATCTCATATTCAATGATAGAGAAGATTATGCTTCAAAACCATTAATACTTTTAGGGAAAAACTAATTAAAGGCCAATTAGAAACATTGGCCCATTAGGTATCTGAAGTGAGAAGGCACAAATTCTCACTCAACAACCCGGAGCGGTCACAATTCTCCACTCGTCATTTCATTATCACAACATTATCTGTGTAAATGCCTAAACACATAGATGTTGTCCAAAATAAAGACCTCCTTATGCAATGAAGATCAATGAGAGAATAAGGATGAGGGATATGATGCATTCCATAGAAACCATATGTTGCCAAAGACCAACTATACTTGAATAATTTAGTTAAAGAATTGATTAAAATATGTTGTATGCTTTTATATTAACCGATTATAGGAGGCTAGGGAATTGCTTATGGAGGAACGAAATAATGAGCTAGTTCTACATAAGGATATCCGCATTATAACATTGGTTCCAGCCATACATAGAAGGCGAAGGGGAAGCAATAACATAACAATCCATCCTATAATAAATCAATTAGGCGAGGTGAAGTCGACCACCACCTTGAAGTTTTCTAACATTCAAATCAGATAGTATCTTTGTTGAAATTTGTAGATCAACAAGAAAATATTTGTTCAATGACATATGGATAGTCGGTCTTCATTATTAATTATTAAATATTGAGCATTTTCATGAACACTGTAAACTTTGTGAATATAGTTTCAATGGATCATTTAAGAAGATGTAGAAGGTGCACACTTAATACCTATTGAAATATCATTTTTATAGGTTTGTTAGGGAGTTGAGAAATTGAAGGAATCTTTACTTAGTCTATCATGTGAGGACAAGGACTTTGTAAATACATGGCTATGATTGATTGTATTATTGTTGGATGTACCTGCTACATTGAACGAATTCAAAGCTGATGACTATACTTATTATGTTATGGTCAAATTCCCTATCAAAGGGTAAAAAGTAACATGTCATCACCAATTCCTTATCTCAAAACATTATGAAGCATGCACAAAGAAACTACGAACCTAAAGGTAGATGAATTTTGGGATTAGAAATCTTAAATCATAGAAGTCCAAGCCAATGAAAGACTCTTAGTATGCGTTCTTTGAATTAATACTCTTTCCCTACAACTTTAAAGAGTAGCTAATCCAAGCTCTATGAGGTAATAATATTAAGGTTTTTGCTTGAATAAAAATTGAAATGCCACAAGTTGAACATGAAAAATAAAGCTAAGGCCATAAAATAAAAGATCAAGAATATTGCCACTACCTTAGGTGAACCAATCAAGAAAGAAGGTAAGAAAACTACGTTGTCAAGTTTGTAAAGGATCGATAATATTGCCACGATATCATAACTTGATAGTTGTTTCCCATCATGCAAAGGAAAATAAAAAACGAAGAATATGAATGTATTTCACCAACATAAACTCAACTTATCTCCCTCAATTTGATGCTCTAGCTGAACAATACTTTTTTATGATATATGTATATTAATAAAAATAATAATAATAATAATAATAATAATAATAATAATAATAATAATAATAATAAATAAGAAGAATAATAATAATTAAATAATAGCAATAATAATAAAAATATTAATAACAATAATAATAAAAAATAAGAAGAAGAAGAAGAAGAAGAAGAAGAATAATAATAATAATAATAATAAAAGAAGTAGAAGAATAATATTAGTAATTCTAATAATAATATCATCATCAATAATAACAGAAATAACGAAAAAATAATAATAATGCCAACTCTATCATATTTATTATGAATATATATATGAAGTAAACATGAATTATAAGGAAATAGTTGTAGGAATTATTATATTGTAAGGTTGCTATATAAAAAATATTCTGAGTATAGAACTGCAATTTTTTCTATTGTTTTTTGTACAATTTACCTATTTTATTGGATGACTTAGATAAAATTAATAATTTAAGAGTTCTAGAATATTTTGTTATCTATTCTTAACATATAAGAAGATGTAGTTTGACTAAACATAAGAAAATTATAACCAATATGCAGATAGGCGACTATCTTATCAAAATTTGATAGAATTATATACGTTCCTCTCAACTTTTATAGTTTTTGATTTCCTTATTGATAGAATTGGACAACGTGATCACTAAGAAAGTTGTGGAGAATTATTTTAGAATTTCTAGTGCATACATGAACATAACTTTTGGATGTGAATTGAGAAAGTTATAATTGAAATACTAAAAGTAAGTCAACTTAATAGAAACTGCCAGCTTGTTTAATTTTTAAGTATGATTATGTAAGCATAATATAATTAAAAATGAATAGATAAAGTTTTTTATATATAGACTAGTTATATAAAGTGATACATGCATAATTTTACAATACTGTAATGTTTTGTGACAAAATAAACGAGAGCATGATGAAGCATGTAGAAAAGGCTTCGGATACATGTGATTGGTTGAAATAGATGGCAAGCAAATGAAGTAACTTTTCCTTAGAAAAATACTAAAGTAAAATATGTAACCAAGTGCTGGCAAAAGAGATGGAGAAGAAAGTTATAATTTCATTCTAGCTTATTTGTGAAGACAAATTTCTTTGGAATTTTGCTTGGATACCCTTCTCATACTTTAAAATTGATTAAATTGTTTTGTTACATGAGTTTGGGAAATGTGTATACATGATATATGATGAGTGTATGCTGACGGGTAATAGGATGATACTATACATGATAAGGAAGAACAATTGTGATACTACAACTATGAAATGAAAAATTATAATATTGTAAGATATCCAGTCCAATCATTAATTAACATGATGGTTGCTTTTTTTTTTTGTCATCATGGAAGTATGCATGTTCACAATACAAATTACACGTATAATATAAAATAATCATGAACTTAAATTGTGTAGTGTCTCTAAACATGACTATAATGTGCACCGTTTAAATTGAGAAGCATACAAATAATAATCTTCTTTATGACTAAGATTTATATATGCACATTACATCTCTTTGTTTATAATATTCTTTTCTTGTGATTAATTCATAGACAGGTCTTGCATAACATGCTAAGCTTTATACTTTACCTTGTTGTACATACTTTTGTTGTTCGTTTTAGGTAAAGGAAATGAACTAATGGAGTAAACATACAAGTCTTATGAGTAGCATATGTAGCATAAATGTACATGTATATGTGTTCTAGAAAATGATTGTGTAATTAAACATGTAGGATGATATAAACTCTTGGTGTTGCATTATTATGATTGTGTGAATGAAGATCTTTTATATGTACTTTGTATTCTTATGGACTTAACACGACTCTTAAGTAACAATTTGATGAATCTTTGATATTGGAGAGATAATTATGGTTTTTATTGAAATGATAAAATAATTGTTTAGTATATGTATACTTAAAAAAAAAAATTATCCATTTATTCCAATTCAACCTATATTATCTATTACACAGATGCGTTATATAGGTTGGGTTGTGACATAATAAGTTTTTGTATGCCTTCGTAAGTTTTCATTATATAAAGATGCATCTATCGACTATGAGAAGATAGTAATGCACCTTTAGTGTGTGTTGCTTTTCTGCGTGTTTTATATCAATTTAAATCACTGACAACAGTGCTAAAAACTTATACTTTCTCGAAATTACACAGTAATTTTGAAATTTTATAAAATATAAAAATAGTTCACACTAGTGGTTCTACGCAAGTGCACGTCTTGCTTCAAGTAATATAGGACTTTCTTTAAAAACCCCAGTATCGATCCCACAGAGAAGCAATGTAAGAAATCCCTTAGGCTAATTCTAGTTTACTACTATCAGTCATTAGTTTGGAAGGTCGATTTAAGTGATTTTCTAACAAGTACTACCAAATGTAAATCCTATATTTAAAACAACCAACAACTCCTAAAAGAAAATATTAATTTTAAAGAAAACCCTTTCTGGATGAATTGGTTTGGAGAATTTTGAGATAATAAAAAACTACTATTTTTATTTATTGAATTGGATAATGTATAGGAATGAGATACATTAATTATTGTATGTGCCAAATATGAGCAATCTTATTTTTTACCCTTTGAGAGTGCATAAAGAACATTAACTAATTTAGAGTTTTGTCCTTAAATCCGTGGTTAGGTTGAGAGAATACTGACTGCAACTACAGAGCTCCCACTCTCCCTTGCTCGAGGGCTCACAATCTTG